CGGGTCCTCGACCGCTTTCTGGACAGCCTCAATTGTCTTCCTGGATAAATTTCCAGAAAAACTGCCAAAGATTGGCATGTTGATGTGGTCCTTTGAGACTTCGACCATGGTAATGCCTGGCTTCTTCGACTGGATCCTGGTTGCCTCTATCATGTTCACCTCAGAGGGTTCTGCATAGTGAGCTTCAGCCTTCAGTGGATTGGAGTCGACAGCCATGGGGGATTTGTCAGCAAACTTTAATCTTCCTTCCTCAATAGCGTCTTGCACAAGATTCCTGAAAAGAAAACATTGAGAAGTTTTATGGCCCAAAAAATTATGATATTTGCAAAAACCTCTCTTCTTTCTTTGATCAAGAGGAGGCACTTTTACCCCAGGGGGTACTATCATCTGGCCATCTTTAACTAGCAAGTCGAATATTTCATCACATTTTGTGATGTCAAAACTATAAGTCTTTTTTGGGAACCTATCGTTGGTCCTATCTGGACCAATGGGATTTTTCCCATTTGAGGGGACTAACTGTTTACAAGAGTATGGAGGCCCTTGTTTTAGTTCTGCTAAATCGACTTCTCCTTCTTCGACAGCTAAAGTATCGTCGAAGGATTCTAGATCTTCGTCATCCATCTCAACGTATGCTATTCTTTCTCTCTTGTGAGTTTTTGTTGCCTTAGCTTTTTCAGCTTTGAGGCGTTCGACTTGTCGAACTCTATCGGCCAGTTGGGCCATGTCTCTTAGGTACTGGGTGTCTAGCTTCTTCCTAATGGAATAATCTAAACCGCCTGCGGCTATTTCGACCAACTCATGTTCTGGCACTTGTGTAAAACATCTCGCCTTAAGCAACCTAAACCTATTCAGATATTCGTCTATAGGTTCAGTGAAACGTCTCTTCACACTGGCCAGTTCTTTCAGGCTTATCTTGGTTTGCCCCATATAGAATTGTTCATGGAACAATCTTTCCAACTGGGTCCAATGATGGATCGAATTGGGGGGTAGAGTCGTGAACCAAGTAAAAGCGTTCTTGGTTAAAGAACTTGGGAAGTATTTGATCCTTAGGTTTTCATTATTTGAAATGTCTCCTGCTTCGATCAAATACCTCGCCACATGTTCGACAGTAGATTCTGTCGTGTCCCCAGAGAACTTAGTAAATTTGGGGACTTTGCTTCTAGGAGGTAAGTCAGTTTGTAACACATATTCTGACAATGGAGATGTAAAGTTGGGCCTTCGAAAGCCCATGTTCATCCCATTCTGAGTCATGATTCTTTCGATCATGGTTGCCAGATTGTTTTCCAAACCCATGTTTTGGTATTGGATATGCTGAACTACTTCGTCAGCATTTTGGTTTCTGTTAACTAACCTTACCTCTGGGGCTATTACCCTAGGTTCTTCGACAGGTTGTTCGACAAGCTGTTGAGCCTGGTTAATGGTGGTTTCTTCCTCTACAAATATCCCCTGATTTCCCCTTGTTTGCGCCCTTTGGGGCTGTCGAATAGGTGGGGGTTCTCCAAAGAAGTCAGCCAAACGCGTCATTTGCGCTGTAACTTGCTGATTCGATTGAGTAGTATTTTGTATTAGAGGATTTAGCACTGTACTCAAAGTTTGTGCCAACATTTGCACCATATCATGGTTGCTTTCGTCCATTTGTTGCCTCAAGACTGCTGTCGAGGCATTTGTAAGGCCATGGGCTACTTGGGACGTTCCTCCTAAGAGTTGGGTCCTATTTCTATTCGCCATGCCTACTCCAGAGCCTTGGAGTGGCGAAGAAGCACTCACGAAAGGGTCTGAATAAGTGGACGCAACATTCGTTAGGCTTGCCAATTCAGAAGTTGGCATACCATAGAATGGAATAAATCCTGGGGGAACCACTGGCCTTGTGCCAATATTTCCCCTTGGTGGGGGGGTTCCCAAAGGTATTCTGGGGCCTGTTAACGAAGTTATTGGCCCCGTGGTTGTGACTGACACTGCTGGTGTCGAACCAACATTCGTCGCTTCACTCACGGTCATATTAACCGTTGCTCCCACACTTGGTGGTGGAATTTCGTTGTTGTTTGGCGGATTCGCCATCTCTTCCCTTCTTCTGGCAGTATTGTTATCGTTGGTGTATATTCTACCACTTCTCAATAACATACAACTCGAAAAGATGAGATAATTTTCAACAATCAACACACAGTCCCACCGGGTGTGCCAATTTGTTTACCTTGGGTTTTGGTAAACAACCGCTGATCCTCCAAATGGTTACTTATTTGGTTACTCGCAGGATCGATCAGATTGATCCTATGGACATAGGTTGATTTTGAAGTTTGATTAAGGTGGATAAGGCTTTAAATAAAAGGTTTCAAGTAAATTGCATAAAGGAAAGGCTTGGTAAAATAAACAAGGCTTTAAAGTAAAGGTTCGACAGGAATTTAAAGGAGAAAAGCAAGTAAAATGCTGGAAAAGTAAATGACTTTAATTGATAAAATTGGTGTTTCACACATACATTTCTCAACAATTCTTTCGCTCACACTGGGTACTTGAATCTAAATGAGTGACTATGTATATAATTGTGAACACACGCGAGAAACTACATGTCTACTCCTATTTATACTAAAACATTCCAAGTAACCGCCGGGCAGTTACACTGCTTCGAGATCAAGCCACTTGGCACGTTCTCCATGCTCGACGCTCCAGATCCTTGCACGTTTGCACGTAGTAACTGCTGGAAACCGTTTTCCCTCCAAAGCTTTGAATTTCAAACTGCTCCACTCTGGACCATCGAACACCTTCATCAAGAGACGTCTTCGACGAAAACTCCTTCGACGTCGAAGGCAACCAGCCTTCTTCCTTGGAAGAAATCTTCTAAGTATTTTCCCATCTTTCGACGGGTACTTCGACAGGCTTAGCCAGTCGAAAGCATCTTTCAGCTTTTAATGGCTGACATCAATCTAAACAAAGGTGTCGAATTTAGGAGCCAACAACATCTAACCCTCTTCCTTCACTTTTGCATATTGAAGCAAAACAACAATTGTGACAGACGCATCGGCCCGATCCTGATTATACTTGATGAATTGTTCAATATAAGACTCTCAAAGGGTGCAATTCAAAGTGTTGTTGCTAGCCAAAAAATACATCAAAGCCGATTAAAACATTACAGGAAATGTATCATAATAGAGAGAACTGATTGCTCCATAACATAAACCTGTGGTCCCTCAATACCATATTAACTTGTTGTTTCTTGCCTGAGTCTGTCCATACCCAATACTCTCAACCATTCCAATGTCATTTGAATAAAAACATCACCGACACAAGAGTTAAACAATAACATCATATAGAAGAACAAAAATTAAACATCATTAAGATCATTTCACCTAACATCAGATCCTTTTCAAAATCTCCAATGATTATGTCAGTAAAAGTTGTACACACAATCGGTTTGGATGGAATCTCATGTCCGTTTTCATCCCCAATCATGTTCGTTTTCATCCCCAACAGATGTTCCTCCAGTAAACTTGAGCATAAATTTGTGCAACGACGGTTTGAAAGACAATACATTAGCATGAACCTTAAAGTTGGATACCGTATAAGTACGGCCCAATGCGAGTTTTTCATCAAACAGAGACATATGGGCTGCTGGGACAACAACATGTATGTCACCACCTTGCATTGCACATATACATAAACAAAAAATTATTAAACCGAATAAACTGAGCATGAAAGACATTCACGCACAGGGAAGGACAATAAAAATTACAGCTTTGTCAAAAAAAATCATCTCAAAATAAACTTTGTTGTTGGAGACAACGTTCCATCTATGATGTACCCTGACTGCCAGTTTCCATAATTGTTTACTGTCATTGATGTCACTTATTTTTTCCACAGGTCTGGCCATATTGTCTTGCTATATTCTATGAAGAAAATGATACTGATAAGGAAGATATGAGATGGTATAAATAAGGTTATAGCCATGATGATTTAAATGGTTGAAGGATGAAGGAGTTACAAAATGATTTTGGAAGGGTTATTGGAATGGTTGCAAAGTAAATGGCGGAGGAAAACGGTTCCACGATGGAGATGAGGTTGGAGGAAAAAACAATTAATGAGGAGGAAAAATAGAATTTAATGAGAAGAAAAAATAAGAATATTAACTGCTATTTTAGATCAGCGACGTGGCAAAAAAAATTGTAAAGGAAATGGACCAGTTTTCTTATATGATAGAAATTTAAAATTAATTAATTTTTAATATCATAATAAACCGTGTCTATTTAACCCGTTTTCCATTCATTCAATCTCTAAGTGTATATTAATTTAAAATTAATTAATTTTTGTTACTATTATTATTTATAAATATTTTAAAATATCTTTATAGAGCAAATCATTTTTCCATTTTTTTTTTGTTTTTTTTAATTTTATATTTTATAATTATTAATTATAATTTATTTATTATTAATTTATAATTATTCATAATTATAAAGAGTATTTTTATAAATAAAAACATAAAATTATTGATTTAAATATTGAAAATATTATCAGAAACATGAAATTATTGACTAAATAATTAAATATTAACGAGAATATATAATTACTGATCAAATTATTAAAAATTAACAAAAACATAAAATTACTCATTAAATTATTAAATATTAATAAAAATATGAAAATTCAATTAATTTTTTTTAATAAACATAAAAAATAGTGAAATTTCAACGCATCAGATCAATATCCGTACAAACAGACTTATAGTGACTTATAGTGAGTTAGTTTGTGTAAAGACAAAAATGGACAAGGTGAACGTGTCTCCACAATATAACACAAGGTTTTTGTGAACTGATAAAAAACGAGGGCTTTATAAAAATCCCCAATCCATCAAAATCATTCAAAACAAAACACACAAAAGAAGGCTGCTAGGGTTTTTCCGCAGGTTTCAGATCTCTTCCTCCTTACTTTCTCATTCATTGTTTTCGGCATTGAGTTAACTAAATTTGTCATTGAATTTGTGATTCGCAGGTTTCTTGATCAAGAACGAAACGATGTCTCGTGTGTATGTGGGTAATCTGGATTCGAGAGTCACCGAGAGGGACCTTGAAGATGAATTCCGCGTGTTTGGTGTTATTCGAAGGTAATTCAAGAAATATTGATTAAAAGATTCAATTTTGTTTGCATGTTTCTTTAGGACTTTTAGGGTTTCTTTGATTCAATTTTGATTCAGTTAACTGTGTTTAATTTGTTTTGGAGTCTTCAATTTCTCAATTTTGCTACTTAAGGTTATTTGGGGAAATGATTTTTGTTTTTCATGGATCTTGTGGTTGCAGTGTCTGGGTTGCTCGAAGACCACCTGGCTATGCTTTTATTGACTTTGATGATCGTCGAGATGCACAGGATGCTATTAGGGAGTTAGATGGTATGTGTAGAAGGATTATTAAAATGTATTGAAATGCCATATATTATTATGACATTATTCTAATCTAAGCTGATAATGTGTTATTGTTTTTCCCCCCTTTTCCGGTCGATATGTTCAAGGGTTTTCCTCGACTCTTCGTATTTAAGTCTTCTTCTACTTCTGCCTTGTAAATCTCTTAAGCAAGCGGCTCTGCAGTAGTGGTTTTTTCGTTAGTCTTCTTCAGAGTCTGCTGATTAGTACACACTTTGACTTCATGTAAAGAGAATTTACAATGTGAAATAAGGATTTGCACTACTTTGGGGTGTTATCTCGCAAGCGGCACTTCTCTTGCATAATGGCTTTGTTTTTTGAGATGTGTACTACTGCAATTAACCTGTCGCCTGTCGGCCATCTCAGTGCTGCATGTGTTCTGTATATATGTCCCCCTGAGCAATTTGTGCTCCGATAACTTATCGTCGATCAGTGGTTAAATAACTTCTATGAATATTATGGTAACACAATATTGTCTTTACTGAATGAAGAACTTGTTCATAATGATGTGTATATGATGTTGCTAATGTGTTCACATGCTGCTTAAATTTTATGAAATTTGGAAAATTTTGTTGTTGATTTAGTCTTGTGATGTTGTTTGATCCATGTAACGAACTCTTATTAAAATAAGGTCTGCATTTTTTAAATGATTATGTTTATGAATTTATTTGAACAATTGACGCACCCTTCCAATTAAAAATTTAATGATAAAATAATCCCCGCTTTTCTGTTTCCAGTTTAATGTTTCTGATCTTTTTTTATTACTGAGTTGATCATACTAAAGATCAATATGTTTGCAGGGTTATGGTTCGGTGTACAACAAATATTTACCTGTCTGTTAAAGTTAGCTTCAATATGTTAAACTTTTTTTGTTAGATGTTCCTTTTTCAAGGTTTAAACATCAGAGTATCAATTATCAAACACGGTTTCTGTTTTCATTCTCATAAATTTAGCCCCCTGGATCATATTCCTTTTTCGTTATTACTTTAATTTTACTTGACATTTTCATTTGTGTTATGTGGAACAGGCAAGAGTGGTTGGAGGGTCGAGCTTTCTCACAATTCTAGAACTGGTGGCGGTGGTGGTGGTGGCGGCGGTGGTCGTGGTCGCGGTGGTGGAGGCGGTGGAGGCGGTTCTGACCTAAAGTGTTATGAGTGTGGTGAACCTGGCCATTTTGCCCGTGAATGTCGCAATCGTGGTGGTTCAGGAAGACGCCGCAGCCGTAGTCCACCTCGATTTCGCAGGAGTCCAAGTTATGGGCGAAGGTGAGATTGATTCCTACAATTTCTTAATGATCGTGGTGGAAATTATTGATCAACCTACACTTTGTAATAATGCTATTATGGCTTGTTTTGTGTTATCATTAATTATTATACTCCATAATTATTATGCTTATCTGTGACTTAATACAAATCCATGTCATTTTGTCCAATGGTTGGCTTGGGAGCTTATTGTTATGATGAGATAAAAATTATAATCATTTGCTTAACTTGTCTTTCTTTTATATTTACCAGGAGTTTCAGTCCTCGTGGGCGATCCCCCAGGCGCCGCAGTGTGTCACCTCGTGGACGCAGCTACAGCAGGTCACCACCTCCTTACCGTGCCCGTGAGGAGGTGCCATATGCTAATGGGTCAGTTATGCTCACCCTTAAATGTTTCCTATTAAGCCTAGTTCTTATTGTGTCACTATTCCAATAGGGCATAGTTTCTTATGGAGCATTTGATTTTAAGATGGTGTTTTGCTTTAATGTTTTTTGGAAATCGAGTCTAGTTTGTCCTTGAGAAAAGAAAATAACACTTTTAGGTTAATTACCTTTCTGCCAATTATGCATTTGATTTATGTTAATTTTGCTTGACTTATTAAGTTATTGTTTACTGTAGTTTTTGTACTGACACATGATGCTTCCAAATAATATATATGCAGAAATGGCATTAGGGATCGACGCAGAAGCAGAAGTTGATTTTAGAGTCAGCAGCAACTGTTGAGAAGAATAGTGAGATTCTGTTTACCAAGTGGGTGCATGGATTGCAATATGAGTCTGTTTTGTCAGGCGATGACCGGAGTTTCTGCTATTGTATTGGATTAGTTACTTCATTGATGTCTCAGCTAGTTTTTCATTTTCCTTTGCAAAATACCTGTAGTTTCATTGCAGATAACTATTTATTTTAAGTTCTTGCTACAATTTTCTAGCTTTTTTTATAAAGTTCATGCTTGTCTCATGGGATGTGGTTTCTTTTGAGTCTTCTTTCTATGTTGGTCTGTGGGATGTACCAGTTTTACTCTTAATTTATAATAATAGGTTGAACCCTGCATCAAGTACTTCTAGCAGATTACTTGTAACCGTTCTGCTGAGGTATTTCAAGGTCTCAAAGGTGAAATGTTTTATTTTAGAGGGTAAGTGAAAGGTAGATTTGTAACTTACATATCATAATTTCTATTATTTTCTGTCTTCCTTGCCTGCAAAGTACACAAGAGATTAAAACTTTACTGTGTGTGTGAATACATTTAGATTGTGCAAGTAAAATATCTTTCATCAAAGATTTCAATTAGGAGAATTGAAAATTCAAAGGGACAAAATTTGAGAAACTTTTGTTTTTTCTCCCAAGGGTTTTGAGAAATTTTCAAATTTCGAGAGTTCAAGAATGATGGAGTACATGATATTGAATTGCTAAAGAAATCAAAGAGACTGGAAAAAAAGGTTAATGTTTTTTGGGATTTTGTGAATTGCTATTATGTACCTTAATCTTTAAAATATATTTATTTTAAACTGGGGTTGATCTTCTCATCCTAGTGAAATTTGAAAACATCCTTTCAAGATTTTGGAGAAGTACATGGTAGCCACCCTAAGCAAATTAAAAAATGTGCCTTTAAAATTTTGAAAGTACAACTTCGGACCCATTTTAAAATTTTGGAAGTACATCTTTCGATCCATCTATTGCACACCAAAATATTTTTTAATTGTGACACTCCTTTTTCTAAAAATTAATTTGAAAATGTATCATTCAGCATAACTCACAATGATTTTGTTTATTTTACAATTTAGTGAATAATTCGGAAGGCCAGTTTTAAAAAAAAAAACATTTGCATGTACTCATTCTTTTCTATGTTATAAGCAAATTTAATTTTCTAGTTTATTGAATAATTAATGTATTTGATTTATATATAAGTTATAAATATTAATTATTCAATAAATTTAAAAAATGAAATTTATTTATAATATGTTTAGTGATTAATTTGGAAATGCGATTTCAAATTTGTCAATTTAATAAAACAGAACTTTGCATGTATACTTCGCTAATGATCATAACACTATTTCTTCTTCAAAACTTTGCCAAAATTTCATTTCATATTCAATCAAGTTTTCCACTTCAAAACATTCCTCTATTTTTTCACATAGGAGCAAAAGAAGATAAAATTTAAGGTTATGTACATGTATTTCCTTCGTCATTATTGTTAAATTTAATACCGAAGTATATTTATGGATTATCGTTAAATGTAATACGAAAGTGTATTTTCAAATAATTGTAATGTTGAATTTGGTGAGCTTTTAATTTTTTTATGTTATGATTGGCCTTATATATGGTGCACTCTAACGTTGTCCCCAAAATAATTGTATCTTTGGATGTTAAGCTGATTGATGTCAAGGTAGATGTTGGTAAATAATTTCTAAATGAATAAGAGTTTGTTGTTCGTGAACATATGCTCAAATGAATCTGCAGAGATTGATAAATCAAGGTTCGACGTTGTAATCAATAGGTCAAATAATGGTTATGATAAGAGACATGCATTAGTGACACCGAGAAGCGAAAGAAATGACAAGTACATAAAACCTATCAGAAATGTGAAATTGGATGACACTGATTTGAGGAAATGTGAGTGTCTTTTTAAGTTGCGCGAGTACCTTATGACGAATAATATATGGACATTTAATGTGATTTGTGATATACAAAATCATGATTTGTGTTACAAGTTAGCCGATTATCTCATTGCATGTCGCCTTAACTCTGAAGAGAGGGATCTTGTTTATGACATGACATTGAACATGGTGCAAACTAAAAATACACTTGCAACTTTGAAATGGAAAAAAATTCTCAAAATATCTCGAATATCAAGGAACTATACAATGTTCGCACTCGAAACAACAGGGTAATTAGAGGTCTAAGAACTTAAATACAACAATTGTTAAAACTTTTGGGTGATAACCATTATATATCTAAGGTATATAGTGTGCGAGGATGGAGAATCGCCCAAGATATATTTTGGACTCACCCTAATTTCATCAAGTTGTTCAAAATACATTTTCCATTGTGCTCATTATTGATCATGACACACTTTTTTAAACATGTTGACACTTTCCCCCCCCCCCAAATTTTTCAACTTCAAAATCTCAAAAAATTGTTTTCAAAGGTGCTCACATTAGCAAACCATATCCTTCACCCCTTTACTAAAAATCACACATATTGAAGAGATGTTGATTTTTATACACAAATACATTGAACAAATTATAGATATTAAGGGTGACGATAAATGAGATTATCATGCTATTTCAGCTTTGCTCGGTAAAGAAAAGGAGAACCATACACTTGTCCGCCAATAACTTCTCAAAGAGTTGAAGGCACATAAGGAATCATACACAATATTCTACAGGAAAAATAACATTTCGATGTAATTCATGCATCTCTTATTCCTTGTGTTAGTGCTCCTGCACTGAAGGAAAAATGAACGCGCTTATGTGAAATGAGTCATTTTATAACAAGTGCATATAATAGGTTGTGTATTGATCTAATAAGATATGACTTTTCAGAAACATTTTTTCCACTTCAGAGTGACTCATTATGTGTATTGGTTGACTTTCAAAATAACTATATTTTGTTCAAATATATTTGAAATTGGGATGTCCTATACCACAAACATCACCATAGTGGACAACTCATTCCATAAAGGAAGTTGAAACTTGCGCAAATAAATTTATGGATTGGATAGAAGAATTCACCAAGTTGAGCGAGATTGAAAGAGAATCAAATAAGTAAAACTCAAAGGCGAAATCACCCAATATATATATATATATATATATATATATATATATATATATATATATATATATATATATATATATATATATATATATATATATATATATATATATATATATATATATATATATATATATATATATATAAGCGGTGACACATGTTTTTGATGTATGATTTTAGTTTTTATCTAACAATGTATTTTAACGGTGACTTTTTTTGATATACAATGTTGGATTGATATTATCAATGATGTAAACAAAATACATTTTTGATACATTTTAATGTTTATTCAATTTTTCTAAATTTTTGTGTTTAAATTGTTTCCGTAACATGATCTGTTATAATAATAGTGAGGGGTTAATCCACAACTCTACTTTTGGATGCACCCTATTTTCTATAAAAAAAGGTTAACAATGGATAATTCAGAACTTCATTTTCATAGGATTTATTTTTTATTGTGATTTACAAAATGCAACAGGGTTAATCTAGAAGTACATCTCTGAAATATTCTGAGACGAGATTGAGTGTCTATGGTCCATGAAATTCTGGCTGTAGATACTCAATGTCACGTTCAATGTTATGACACCGTATCTGACTTTCTATAAGACAGTAAATACAAAAACAGTAAAGAACACAGTCAATTGTTTACCCAGTTCAGTGTGCAACAACACCTACTCTGGGGGCTACCAAGCCAGGGAGGAAATCCACTATAAGAGGTATCAATTCAGGAATAAACCAACCAGTTTATCTCCTTCACTTAAGACCTACCCAATGCAACTTCAATCTAAGTACAACTTAAACCTGAGTTCCTACTCACTCCCCCTCAATCACAGCAGTGATACTTAAAACAATTGACTAATGAATTGATGAAGACACTCTTCAAAACATACACTTGATTATGCTTCACAGCTTTTTAATCAAACAACACAAACACTCTTGCTTCACAGCTTTGAGTGATACATAAACCTAACTTGACTTTGCTTCAAAGCTTTAGTCAAGAGACACACAAACACTCTTGCTTCAAAGCTTTAGAGTGATACACAACCCTTACAATTAAAACCTATTCCAAGACACTTATCACAATGATACTTGCTTGGATTACAATAGTTAAAACTATACAGCTTCTAAATGATCTTCTGTCAAAAAGGGATACATTCCAAACAGCAGCCCTGTTGAATATATAGCAGCTGCAACTTCAGTTAGGGTTTCCACAAAAAGCTAGGGTTAATTTCGTTTGACCTTAAGACTTGGTCACAGGACTTTATCAACCAGGTTAGGGTTGAGCTAAATTAACCCCAAGTCCACGAGATTTTCTGTTCTGGAAAGACTGAGTCATTTTCCTGAAAAAAACTCAGAATTACCCAAACTGCATAACTGTTAGTTCAGAACATGATGTCTTAACATTTGTTATGACATCTGAATTCCTGTCTACTGATTTTGGTAAATGTGATCTTTTTGCAAAATGCTCAGATACACACTCATAAACAGCAGCACCTGTATGACAATATTTTTCTGCAAAGGTACCTAATAAATCAGTACCTAATAAACTAGAATGTTATGACATCAGTCATGACATTCACACACCTGGTTTTACCAAAAATGCATGCCAATAACTAAACAACTACAAACTCCCCCTTTGGCAGATTTTTGGCTAAAGACCCTAAGCAATCAGAGATAGATAGCAGCAGAATAAATATGACTGCAGAAAAATAGAATGTCTATCAAGTAATTGACCACAGAATAATATCTCCCCCTCTTTAGCCACAAATGGGCCAAAGATACATGTTCTTAAAAGTTATACAGTCATCCCAAAAGTAATAAAAACAACAACTAAAAACTGAACACACTTGCAAACTCCACCAGGGATCAGCAACAACTCAATCAACCTTTAAGCACTGTCACCTTCAGAGGAGCTACTCTCTTCAGA